AAAAAAAGAAAAACATCTCAGGTTAAGGATTACGACATAGGTCTACCTGGATATTTTATAGAATCAAAAAGTGCTTCTGTTTTATTAGAGAAACAAAGATCTGAGGATAAATGGAAGCAACATTGTGAATTTTTTTTTATTTTTTTAAATTTTAAAATTTTTTTTTAAAAGGATGACCGGTAAGGGGATCTCAATCCTTGGCTTGGTGTTGTCAGCACCACGCTCAGCCAGTGAGCCAACCGGCCATCCCTATATAGGATCCGAACCCGTGGCCTTGGTGTTATCAGCACCGCACTCTACCGAGTGAGCCATGGGCCGGCCCGTGAATTTTGATAAATGTAATTTTTCTAACTCTTCTTCAGTACTTCAAATATAAAAGTGTCACCAACATGTACTTTTATGAATAAACACCTTGTTCCCCAGTCAGTTTCCGAGGCTACGACCACTCACCTCAGCCACTCCGTCTAGCAGCCTTCCCAGCACCTCCCTTCTCTTGAGTTTGGCCCGCTCCATGATCTCCAGTTTCACAATCACAGCGTCAATCTTGGACACAATGCTGCCGATGGAGTGCTCCATTCGGTCCACTCGTCTCACCAGGCTGCAGGAAACCACAGTTGAGAGGGCCAAAGCCACCTGGTCATTGTCTTTCAGCCCAGATGGCTTTTCAAATGGAAATGCTAATATGTTTTTCTTAAACAAGATGATAATCTAAGACAATTTCTAAGTGGTCTCATGCTTTAGAGGTAAGTCTCCTACACTGCTGGTGGGAGCGTTAACTGGCACAACTTCCCTGCAAGTCAACATTGTATTGGAAGTCTAAAAAATGTACACTTACCCCTTTATTTAGACATTCCATTTTTAGAAAATTTTCTAAGTATATGTGGAAGTTCTGGCTATAAGGATATTCACTAGAGTGCTGCTTATTAATAGTGGGTCACTGGAAAATGGCTATATTAAACAATAGGAGATTGTTTACATAAATTATTGTTCATCTATAAAATAGAATTCTAAGGAAACACCAGAAATTATATTATGACAATATTTAATGAAACAGAATTATGTTCACAATATATTAAGTAAATAAAGCAGTTAGAAAACAGTATGTTCACTTATGATCCTATTATCTTGAATTAAAAAGTGTTATATAAATACTTTAATAACATGTAAACTAGAGACAACTTCCAAAATGGTGGCATGAGGGTTCTGTAGACTCTCTCCCCAGTGAAGCAACTATAACTGTTGAAAATTACTTAAAACAAACAAACATTTAAAATCTCTAAAAATGTTCTTAAGGGCATACAACAAATGAAAAAGCACTTATTCAAGGAAATCTACTAAATTTTTTTTTTTTTTTCTTTTTTTTAAGATGACCGGTAAGGGGATCTTAACCCTTGACTTGGTGCTGTCAGCACCACGCTCAGCCAGTGAGCGAACCGGCCATCCCTATGTGGGATCCGAACCCGTGGCCTTGGTGTTATCAGCACCGCACTCTCCCGAGTGAGCCATGGGCCGGCCCCGAAATCTACTAAATTTTAATAAGAAGGGTGAGAGTCTGGGACTGGCTGATTAGCTCAGTTGATTAGAGTGTCGTGTTGTGCTGATAACACCAAGGTGAAGGGTTCGGATCCCCATACTAGTCAGCCACTAAAAACCAAAAAAAAAAAAAAAAAACCTGTGG